GCTACTAACTCACCCGATAAACTTTGGCAAGCAACTCTTTTTAATCTCTGTAGACTTTTCTGCCATCTTATTTCCAGGAAGCTATAAAATTTTGTTATGTTTAATGTTCTTAAGAGAATAGCATAAACTTGGTAGTAAGGCTAGAGGAACTTAAGACATGAGAAGTCACAGCCAATTAAAAGTCATCCATAAGTTCAAATATCATAGTTGAAACTTAAATTAGGTGAATTGGAAAATATGATTTCATTTGTAATTGTAGGTGGATTCATGGCACCTTTCAGGAATATATTGCATAATTTTAAAATTTTTTTACAAAGTGAAATAATAATATATATGTTAGAGTAACAACAGACTTGGCTGTATGTCCAATATAAACAAAGTAGACTATGTTTGAATAAAATTGTTAACAAAGTCACACATGGAAAACCTTTCTGTGGATATTTTTCTTTATCTGGGAATGCTGAAAATTAGTTATGCCACTGAACATAGAAAATCAACACTAAGTCCCAAATCTCTGCTTATACTGGCTTTTGAATACTTCAAACTGCCTAAGGTATAGTCAGCCAGTCCTGAAATGCATACTTAAATACGATTCATTGGCTTCCTGTCTGTCTGGAGATGTCAACAGACTGTAAATCATAAAATTCCCTTTGGGTTAGGGGCTTGCACCTGCAAGCCAACTTAGTCATCAAATAGATTGTTTTACTGTTCTCCAAAAGGCTGCTTCATTCTGGTTTCCATGAACTCCATACGACGCCACATTTTTATTTTGTCTATGAGGTTTTAATACATTTATACTATTTTTCACTCCTTTCCAACTACAAAATTTCAAAGTTTTAGAATTGGGTAGCTGTTGTTCTCAAACTAATTAAGAGTCACATTAAAGAGATAAAGAAGGTTGAATCCACTAAAATAAAATCCTCATACCTTTATACCCCAGTGATGTGAAAGTAGGGTGAATACTCAAAGGGCAACACATTTTTGTCTCATTTTTTTTTTAAGTGCTAGGGAACAGGTCTTATGTTAATGACTTTATGATGAGGTTTTAGGAATGGATTTCTCATTTTTCTGGCATTTGACACAATTTTTGAGCTCTAGATAAAATAACTAAGTCCACAAACTAAGGCCTGAACTAGAACATTTACTCGAACTATTTAGTAGTCTAGAGTTTTCAAACAGAAGACATCTGGATCCTATTTTACTAGGGTTAGAGGGACAAATTTTACAGCCTAATGGGAGAAACTGCCCTTTTTAAGACATATAACAGACAGTTTATAGATTCTTGCAAGATAATTTTTTCCTCATTTGTCTTCTGTTTTAAAATGATTTAAAGATAGATTTAGATTTGGAAGGAAATTTCAACTATGTGAAAGCATATGATGGTCTTAGCAGTTAGTTCAAGTGCTTTAAATAGGATGGGTCAGTTAATCGTCTTTGTATAAGAATACTTTTTTCTTTTAAGTAACATTTCCTTTCATAAGGCCATGAATTAAAATGAGAGATTAAAGAAAATGTTCAGAAAGTATATTTCTTTTAAATGGTCATAAATTTTGCTCCAAATCAAGAAAGTACTCAAAAATAAAAATCATATAAAACTCCACTATATTACTGATTATTATGACTCTAAACAAAAATATCAAAATATTTTTTTACTTTGTTTTTAAAGATCATTCTTAATTCTACAGTCCAAAAATGTTGAATTTATACTAACTTTGTTTTCAGCAATGCATATCAAAGCACTGTCATTAAAAATATCTTTGAGGTTTTATTAACTTGCTTCTGCACAGAGTTTTACTTTTCACAATTCAAACACATATATTCAGAAACTGATATTTTATGAAATATTAGCAGGGGGATTTCCCTCTACAGTGATGATAGCTGTATTTAGCTGAAAATAAAAGGAAGTTTTACCCATGAGAACAAAAAAAAGTGGTCTCATTCTGCCATCTCAGAACTCAGAGAAGCCCACAGCTTGCAAAGGAGCTTTACTAAGTGTCCCCAGATTGGAAAACATGGCAGAGAATCAGAAACTCACCGGGAATCTTTTCCAAGGTGATGTCTGTGGTTTTAAAATTATGTTTATATAATCTGGAAAAGTGTTTAGAATCAAATATAATAATGCGTTGTCTATCAATGATGAAAACCACAAAACTTACAAGATTATATTGGTGAATTCATTAAGGTCAAAATTCATCTGCTTTCTGGGCAAATTACTTTTGTGATTATTGACAGCTCTCCCAAAAATCACTTCTAGTTCTGCCTAAAAGTGTTTTAAGTCATTAATGTGTATAATCCTCTCTGGGTTTGAGAGGAGCACAAATTTAAGCTAGATATATGTTTAATGTATGTAAGGCAAAATTTAGGAGTAAAGTTAGATTAGAAGAAATTTCTTTTTTTTTTTCTTTAACTAATTATGCTTCAACACAAGGGTAAAACGGTAAGATCTAAATTTATTGGGTTGATGTTTGTAAAACACATTTGAATTTGCTTCAAGCTAAAAAACTTTAAATGCATGTAGAAAGAGATTTAGACATTCTTACTTAAATGCTCAATTTATCCTACTGGTATTTAACTATTTAATATCATGTCACACACTAAAACAATAGTAGCATCATGAATAATTTTTTTTTTTTTTTGGTTTTTTGCTCAAAGTACACAACAGTTCACACCTTCCAAGTGAGTAAGGAAGATAAAAGGCCAAATTTACAAATCAAATATTTTAATGTAAGGGTTATCTTAATTCTTATGGAACTTCTTTTGTAAAATCCATAATTTATTTTTGGTAATGTGAACAATCAATGTTTTTATCAGAGTGTGTGGTAATGAAGCATGGTCAGAAATGGAACAACCCCAAATCAAAATTTAAAAATATTTGTGTGGGAGGAACTCTTCGTTTGATGTATCACCTTGAAAATGACAAGGCCATTATAATTCACTTTCATTAACCAAGACTTTAATTTGTTTTACCTCCTGTAACAAGCAGCAATTTATGCCAGACTCCGAGCCGGAGGAGACATGATTCTTAAAGGCATTTTATAATTGGGCAGCTTGTCTTCTTCTTTGATAACCTGGCTATATTTAAAATGTTTATTCAACAGGCTCCCTAATCAGAGACTCATGTAATACAATGTTTAATAACAATATATAAAATAAAATCTAGAAAACAGGCAAATACTGTAAATTAAATGGCAGGTAAAATTTAAAATCCCACCTAATTCTAGAGATAGTATAATACCCTCTGTTTACATCTGTATCACAACTTTCAGAAGCAATATGCTTTTCGGATGCAATATTTAGAATATTTAAGTAATAAAAATATATCTGGCATTTTAGAGTATTCCAACATGATAATCAACTAAAAAAGCTTTTTGTCTATTCTCTAAGTAGGAACTCTAGACAATTCATATTTATTTTACTTGAACACAGCCTTGGCAGCAGTTCATTTACTGAAATTTTACTTTGTGTGATTTTCTACCCGTTGTATTTTTAACTTCCCCTTTCTTAAGGGATAGATGCTGAGTCCCTGGCATTCACTTGACTCAAGGCCATTTGTCCTACAGGCCAGAAGCCCCAAGGTTGGTGGGGGAGTAGGTAAATCAAGGTCCTACAAGCAAGAGGTAAATCTTCATCCTGCTCCTTCACAGAACCCAAGGATGTATGTGGCAGCAATAAAAGCGAATAAACTCCTAAGAAACAGCCAGATGCCACAAGTTTGAACTATGCCTGAGTAGTAGAAATCTGAGAGCACAGAAGACTAGAGAATTATCCCCCAGGGGCCTTCCCACAATTAACTGGGAAGAGTGTGGGGAAATAGAAGAATGTCTCAAATGGGGTTTTTTACCCCATGTTGAGGTAAGACAAAAAAATATTAAATTTGAATTGAAAAACATTAAAGCAATCTTTTGCACACTCAATTATTGTGACAAAATGAAATTTGTACCTGATATACAATTCATTAAGATTATATTGTTATGATGACCTAAACAAGTTGTGGTTATATATTCTAATTACCGGATGAAAAAAAGGTTTATTAATTGGCAGCAAGTTTTCTAGCTATGTTGTAAATTGCTGATGTGTTCTCCTATTTTTTCTTGATTTTATCAATAAATTCTTTGAGCATACTCATTCAGTGTTAGTTCTCTCTTCCTCTTACTTGATTGCAACCCTAAAAGTATACCCAGATGTAAATAAGAAACTGTTTTCTAATTAATCCTGAATTTTAAATTTGCATCAACACCTCTTCAAACATTTGCATCTTCATTTCTTGTTCTTTGGGATTCATAGGCTGGCCAGAAGCCCTATCTGGTGGTATGCAAGATAATAAATGGGAAAACATGAAATCAAAGCAAGTTGGTTTAGCTGAGAGTTCCTTCCTCTGCTTATTTAGCTATTATTTCTGCAATTAATTCTTGTTTTTCCTTCATACAGAAAAAAAACATAGGTTTAAAGATGCTTCTACATAAGAATAACATTCTATGTCTTTTTCTAATAAAAATATAGAGAATAATTTAAAAATTATCATCCCAGTCTGAAATGGAAATGAAAAGAGTGAAGTGTTGAATGAGGGAAATGAAGAAAAGGAATAAAAAAGGAGGTAAAAACTATTAAAAAGTAAACAAGAAGCAAGGAGGTAAAGAAGGAGGAAGATAGACAGAATATGGGAATAGACTTTCCACTGAGGAGAACCGTCATATAAAACCGCTTCTACAATGTCCTCCCTAACCCCAGGGAAGTTTTGAAGGGAAAATGTATTTTACTAAAAAACACTAGCAAATGTTTAGACATAGTGGCTTTGACAACAAGATCTTGATGTTAAGAATATTGGTGGCACGTTTTTAGTTTGGTCAACTGCTGCCCTCAAGATGTTCAAATTATCATTCGTGAATGAGTAGCATCTCACAACCAGGTTAAACATTAGCAATGAAAAGCCAGCAAGCTTCTGTGTTGCTTGGATGCTGAGATGGTCTATGTCTTGACATAGTGGCAGTGGTTTGACCTACCTGGCTGCAATCCGGCCAAGCTCTAGCAAACAGAGACACACTTCTCTGGGTTGCTTGTGGAGGACTGAAAGACAAGACAGAGGTGAACACCTTTACAATAGAAGGAATACGCAGCTCAACAGTGTAGGCTTGCCAGTGACCCTCATCCCTCATGGTGCCAGGAAAGAGCTACACTTCATTCTGACGGTCATAAAATCCATATAATTCCACAATCCACCTAGCTCTACTAAAGGCTTAAATTACTTCTCAAAACTCTGCCTATGCTTCCTCTTGAAAGCTATTAGTCTCAGGAACTCTCACCCTGAATAAATCTCACCCTAAAAATATTTTCTTCGATTAATTAATATTGGTAAGTCAATATTGGATGCCTATGTAGCTATATTCATGATACCTGTCAATAATTGATATTTCCAAACACACAACTATGGAGCAGGGACTAGCCATTTTAATATCATGGGTCTACCTCCAACAGTGACTTTAGCAAGAAAAAAAATGAAATAATGATAAACATCTTACACTACACTCCTTTGTTGTCCTCCAAAGAAAAATGTCAAAGGGAGACCCTGTTACTTCATGTGCTCTTCTAATCAAATCTGATTAAATAATACTTTAGAAAGAAACAACTTCAACTGACTGAATTTTGTACATATATACCAATGCACCAACAGCCAGTTTTGCCCATCAGAGAAGCAAATTAGAAGGCTATATTTGAATTTATATTTCTATTATAATATAATCTGATAGACAGTCAGTAATGTTGACAAATCACACTTGCTTTTGTCGGGCTTACAGGAAGAGCATTTAGAAGAGCATACTATTCTCTTTTTTAAGCCAAATTAGGGGATTTTTACAATGTTCTTATATTCAGCACTGAATAAAGATGAGAGACTGGAAAAAATTTGCACTGAGAACAGATTTTCCACTGATACACAGTATTCTAAAAAAGGAAACCATTGACTGTTAATTGACTTTAAGAAAAAGAGCAATATGCTTTTATTCTTAAACACAGAATTATATAATAATTTAACTTTCCAGTATTAATCTATTCACTTAACTGAAATATTCTAATTCATTCTCTTCATAGCTTATGATAGTGGCAATATTTGATTCACTAACACCACAATGGAATTTCCTGGGCATGTGTGGTAAATAGAAAAAACACTTTTACCTGATTGTAAAAGTATGTGATTTCATTTGGTTTTAAGGAGACATATAAATGTATTATTATTTGGTTATAAAAATGGCACTTTAAAGCTTTTTTTTTTTTTTTTTTTGAGACGGAGTTTCACTCAAGTTACCCAGGCTGGAGTGCAATGGCGCGATCTCGGCTCACCGCAACCTCCGCCTCCTGGGTTCAGGCAATTCTCCTGCCTCAGCCTCCTGAGTAGCTGGAATTACAGGCACGCACCACCATGCCCAGCTAATTTTTTGTATTTTTAGTAGAGACAGGGTTTCACCATGTTGACCAGGATGGTCTCGATCTCTTGACCTCGTGATCCACCCGCCTCGGCCTCCCAAAGTGCTGGGATTATGAATTTTAGATTCAGATGACCATTAGTGAATTATCACAAAGTCCTAGTTAGGGAAATCTTGAATTACTTTTAATTAAAATGGCTTAAAATAATGATATTTACTACCTCCAGTTTCAAATATACTACAAGTTGACTGTAACTAGAATGATATTAACTTCATAAAGTTTAGTATATTAAATCAGTTCCAGCACAAGGTAACATAAGGGCTGCAACATCACACAGGCATCAGTTTCATACAGAGAACAATAACAAATATCACAAAACAGAAATAAACAAATGAAAATGGATCTTCCTGTCTAGATCATCAACTTTTTTCTGATTCAGACTTTTTTTTAACATGTCCATGGTATAAAATCACAATTGGGAGTTCTGAGTGGGAGAAAGCAATACGTAGAAACTGAGGAGAGGAGGACTTTTAAAGCCCTGCTCATGCCCTCATCCTTAGTAAATGCTATGTGACGCAGTGGCTATAGCATCAAGAGCTTTGGATACAATGCCATGCATTTCTTGATGACGAGTGTCAAAATGTAAAAACTATTAATTAACTGACTAAATTGTGTCAATGTGCAGCCAATAACCAACTATAAAAGGTAATACTTGATACAATTATAATGGTTATTTAACCAACTTATTGTACATATTCTGAGGACTATATAAGCATTAATATGTAAATAGGTATACTTTATGGAAAATCAAATTCATTCTGAAGAAAAATAATAATGTGAATGCTATAAGAAAGACAATTTGACATGCAGGATGCCTCAATATTGTGTATTTCCTTGCTTCTTCATTTGTCAATTTAAAACAGTTTTGCATGCCAAAACTCAATATCAAATCTGTCATAGACTCATTAGAAAATCAATTTGGCAAACTGAGAAGAAACTGCATGATTCCTTATTTTGTTTCCTTAACAGAATCAGCCTATTAAAACTTAAGACAGATAAACCTCTTCCCCAGCATCACTTCTTAGGAAAATGCTAACAAAAAAACAGTGTTTTATTTTCACTTTTTTTTTTTGGTAAATATTGCCTTTTTATAAAGCAATAAATCTGCTTTAAAGCATACCTGTAATATTACCTCACATTAATAGCTTTTCAAATAACAAACATACCAAGCCTGGCCCCTAATGGACAAAAAAAAAAAAAAAAAAAAAAAAAAAAAAAGAAGAAGAATGATTGGTGACTGGTAAGCAATGACTAAGATAAATCTGTAGAGCTGCGCTTAGAATATAGAAATGCCTTAGTAACTACGTTCTATGTAATACAAGGAAGATGACGGTTATGTGGTGGTGATAGGGGTTGTGATGATTGACAAAGTGAATAAAGGCTAAAGTTTTACCTACCATCTTCAGGAAAGACAAAAATTTAAATCATGTAAATGTTTAATTGCAAAGGCAAGCACTCTTATCTTATTGCTATAACATTTAAATTCAAATGTCTGTATGTAATATCCATATTGTACTAAAGAGGTAACTTTGGTTGTGGCACTTAAGCAAGTTATAAACTAAAGTTAATAGAGGGAAAGAGTATAATGGTTGTGTAACTCATGCCTCAAAGATCTGGGTGTGGGTGTGAGCACTAATATTTGCTGGTCATGTTATTTTGGGAGGTCACTCTACAAAATCTCATTTTTCTGCAGGAAATAAATAGTGCCCACCTCATAATATTTTTGTGATGATTAAACAAAATAATATTTACTGTTATGCTTAGCACAGTACCTGGCACATAGGAAACACCTGCCAAATGTTAGTTTCATTATTTTTTTCTTTTCATTATTTATTTTATTTGGTTTAGTCAATTAACCTTAATTCACTTTTTTTCCCTGTAAGCACTTTTTGTGCATCATAATATGTCAGTTATTAGACAGTGAAAGAAACTCTGGAATGAAGATAAGATTACTGTCAGGAGATATAGATTGGTTCTATTAAAATGGCTACATTTTAAATTTTTACCTTTTAGATTATATCGGATATAGTTAATTCTAAATGTAATCAAATTTCAGGTTAAATGAGTCAATTTGGTCAGCATATATAGATATAAAGCAGATATCCTTCACCAGTTACAAGCTTACGCTAAATATAAAGTTCAAGTAACAACTGCATTAGGACCTATGTCATTTTTTGAAACACCAAATATCTTGGCTTTAATTTTCCTTTGTGATTAAAATACCTTGATAGAGTTCATTTTTAATAATTAACTATGTTGATTATATATGGTATATTTTAGAAGATCAAATAACTGAATATATACCTTTGTCAAGATGATTTGACAGGCAGCTTTCATTGTACTGTGGTTGTAGCAAAGCCCTTGCATCCAGTCATGTGTACTACTCATTTAAATTATACAAGGAGACTTTTTCTTACCACTTTATCGCTGGAACATTAACAAGGTCTTTTGCTTTGAGTTAGGGGTATGAGAAAGGATTGCTGTAGCTTTCCTCTGAACAAATCCTCTTCAAAACAAATGAAGAGTTTTCTAGTCAATGGTGATTATTACACAAATGGTTTTATCATTGATGGCTTCTTTTTAAATAATCAAAGCCATTTCAAGAAAAGCATAATGTAAAACATCTCCGGGAAAAGTAACACAGGTTTCCATTCAAAAATATGTGGCAAGAGACTCAATCCCATAACCCAGATTCTATAAAAACTCTCATGGGCAACAAATGTCAAATGGAACACTGCTAGCTCCAGGAATAGAGAATGAGGCCTTCCATTAAAGAAAGAGGGTAGAATTTCAATGTCACAGAATCTGCAAGGATAAAATGCATTAGACCATGAATGTGTAGTTTAGCTAAACATATTAAGTTTTAACAGATGGGCAAAAGAATGAAAGCATGAAAAATTATGTAGCCCATTTGGTTTCTATATAACTAGAGGCTATAACATGAATCATCATGTTGAAGAAAATTGCATTTTAGCCTTTTATTTAGTAAGGAAACTTGAAAAAAGTATTTTTGAGTAAATGTTGTTCAATTATAAAAATATCATAGATTAACGGCTGCCTACTTTCCCAGAGTAGAGAACTGGTTCTAGTAAGGCAAGAAGAGTGATAGAGTAGAAGAAACAGTGAGCTAGAATTCAGAAGAATTGGGTTCTGCCTAACGCTGCCTAATTTCTTCAACTCTAAAACAAGTGTCATGTCTTCACTTGCTCTTCTTTATCAGGTAACTATATGGTTAAGAACACTTAGTACCTGGTAAACACTCAATAAATGTTACTCTCTTGCACTAAAGTGTGGTCCACAGACCAGCAGCATTGGCATGGCATGGGAGCTTGTTAAATATGCAAATTTGGGGCCCTATCCAGCTCTAATAATCAGAAACTACATTTAAACAAATTTTCCAGGTGATGAGTATATACACTAAAGTCTGAGTACTGTATTAATGTTATAATAATAATAAACATTGGTATAATCCTATATCTGTTTTGCTGAAAATATTAAAGTGAGCTTTGATATATGTAACATGCTTTAAAAATGTGAAGGATAACAATGGTAGTGGTGATGATGATGATGATCAATAGAGTGGAAAT